GTATTGTAATTGACTTCTTTTCGAGATTCATTGGAAATGTTTTGTAGGGAAAGGGAAGTTGTTAATCTTGAATGAAAATTTGTGAACCACGTATACTGTGAATTGTTAATTTTTAAGGATTTTTTAAGATTTATTGGAAATGTTTTGTAGGGAAAGGGAAGTTGTTAATTTTAAATTGAAACTTATAAATTGCTTAATATAACTCGTTGATCTTAAAGAATTGAAAATCAAGATTTAAAAAAGAACTTAAAGTTCCAACCAAGAGCATTGACGTAATTTGATCAAATTTCTAAATTTCTTTTTGAGTCATCTAACGTGATTAAGAATTTTAAAAGTTTACTAACCCAAAATGAAATTTGAATTATTGATTAGTTGGTTTTCTAAAGAAATTTTTCCTTATATTTATATCCTTAAAATTTAACCTATTTTTGGGGAAAAAATTACTTAAATAATTACTTAATAAGTTCCATTTACCATAAAATAATTCCTTCTAAGGTTACTTGAATCCTAAAAATAAAACTTGGAATGTGACACGTATGCATGGTTTTAAAAATGATTTCCTTGGAATTCACATCTTTATATACACTTTCAGTAATCCGCTTGTGTGCAAAAGAAAAGCTCAAATTAATTCCACAAGTTATGACTTATAATATTGAAATTTGATATAATCGATTGTAAATTTCAAATATACCACTTGAGAAAAACTGAGCAGCAAGTTAATTGGTTGAGAATATTTTGAAAAATAGAAGGGTAGAAGGAAAGGGATTTGAATACTAGAAAACTTTCCATGGAAAGGTCCCGCATGGGTCAATAATTTCCATGAGAAGATCCCACAAGGATATTGGGGAGAAGAATTTCAGACTCGAAAAAAGTCTGAGCAGTAATTCAAAAAGTCCGAAATAATATAAGTGGTAGGATCGCTGCTTATATAGGTTTTACTATAGCCTAATCTAAATTAGTATCTCCGTTTGTGGAACTCGATAAATTTTCCAAGGACCAGTCCTAGACGTGTCACGACATGCCAGGACCAATCCTAGACGTAATTTGGTTCGTAATTCCCTAAAATAGTTAGCTAGAATACCTGCTATATGCACAACAACAGAAAAAAAGTCTGAAAACGTACTCTACCTCGAAGTCTATAAAAATTCTTCATAAAAGAATTTAACGTGTAAATACTGGGGAGAAGAAATTAAAGTTGCATTTTTTTAATGGACAAATATTTAAAGACAACACAGGGACGGTCGGATATTGCACAAATATTGTAGAACACATGATATTGGAAGGATTTTTCTTGTGCTATAATGATTTTTTGCTTTCAATTTAACCCTAGTTATGAAGTTTTTCAAGCAAAACCAATAAACGTTATTTTCGAAATTTGAGGAAGATTAGTAGGTGTTTGACATCCAAAAAACTCTTTTAACATATTTGCCTGTACACAATAAAATCATTTAAGATAAGCTAAATCAATTAGTTAAAGATCATCTAATATAAAAAAAGAGTGTGTCTTTTGTTGGTAAAAATTATAAAGGAATGAGCTGCAACTAATCAAAACTATAAAAGAATGATTTGCACTGAGTTGAGTATAGAAAATAAATCACATATAGTCAAGTCAAAACTACATATATATGAACTATAGGTTTAGATTTTTTTCTATTGTTTTTTTTATGGTGCAGCTAGATTTCTTATACTCTTTTGGTCCTAAATATAAGACTTATTTTGTAATATAATTTATACTTCAAATGGGTTTTATATTTAGATCTGGAAGGAGTATTTTCTTTTAGTCGCTTGATGATCCCCTCAACCATTCTAATTTCAGTGGCACTTTGCAAAAAGATGTTTAGTCACTGCTTCAAGCTTTTTCTGCTGGTCACTCCGTTTTTAAAACTGATATTGTGTTAACTCCCCCCACCCTGATCTGCTGTTTCAATGATAATTTTATGATTTTCTTCATTTTATAAGACTGATCCTTTTATCAGGAAATATATATATATATATATTTATATCGTTGAAAAGAATAACGTGCAATAGCCATCAACATAGAATACTGAAGACGTTTCAGTGCAGAAAATCCATGTGGTAATCTTATTCGGTCAATCGTCTAATAAAATGAGGAGCTTTCACTTGGGATAACGTAGGTTGCTAGATTAGCCGTGAAGTTTTGAGGGCTTGAACGATTCTTTCCACACAAAGAATTCCAGTCCCAATAACAGAGCATCATTCTACTTTAATTTCTCTCATCTCTTCTCCATATGTGCTTTTCCCCGATTTGACGTTTTATTCTTAACTGTGCTTCAATAATTTTTACAACTACATGCGGAAAATGTACACGTGATATGCTATATATACGAATTCTAGAAAATGGATTCCTATATAAATATATTAAAAGGATGGACAAAACTTGGGTTATGCTGATTATATTCTCTCATCACTCTTATTTTGTTATTGTTAATTGTTAAAATATACACGTGTGTGGGTTTGTAAATTCACTCATAACTATTATTATGAAATTTTGTATTAACTCTTATAATATAAATTAATTAGGATTCATAAATATTTATATGAAAATTTATTATTTTATTTTTATTAGTTGTTAAAATTCGTATATGTGCACTCATAAATTTATTTATGAAATATAAGCACCTGTTATTTTGATGTTGTTAGTTGTTAAAATATATCTGTGCATTTGTCAATGCACCTATAAATTTGACTTAATAAATATAATAATTAATTTAACCTAAGTTTTGTCCTAAAAAGAAAACCAATTAATGATCCTTACAAGTTAAAAGTTAAACAACTGGGGGCGAAATAATTAAAAATACAAACGTAAAGAAAGGGGGACTGTTAGAAATTGTTCGATGCTGATCACTTCAAGAGGGCCATCCCATGATGAGGAACAAGATCTTCAATAATGCTTAATGAAGTCTGATCCTCCATTAACCTCAATCAACAACAATAACCTTTATTTTTACATAAATCAAGGCTTAATCACACTAATTTTTAGAAGAGTTAAAGTGTAAATTTGCTTTGAACCACAGGGCACGAGGTAGCTTTTTTGGTGCAAATTTGTTTCTGAAGTTTAAAGTCATAGCAATTTTGCCCCCATCCATTAAAAATTTTAACGACAAATATCACTATTTTAATTGTCCCTATTAGTTTTATTATACAAAATTGCTATGATTTTAAACTTTTAGATAAATTTATATCCAAAAAAACTTTCATGTGCCCAGCACTTGTAAGTAAAAATTTCCAAAGCAAATTTTCATCTTAACCTATCTTAAAACCAAGATATTACAGGTTTAGCAGGAAAAATGTTCTTTAGTGGCGAATCTATGTTTATTTGACAGTTCTGTAAATAAAAACCTTCAAATACTAACTTTAAATATTTGATGGTTGTTTTAAATTAAAAGGGAGAATCCATGAAAATAAGCTTAAAATTACTGAATACCAAATAAAAATTTCTGCAAAAATGTGTTGTTATTTGCAAGTTAATTGTTTTCAAAACCTAAAACCTAATTAATGCTCAAGAATCAAACCTAATTTAGAATTTGGTAATTTTAATATTTTTTTGTAGGATTCTCTCTTTTAAAAACCCATCAAATAATTATAAAAATTTAAAAAAATTACCACTATGTGAAAATTCTTTTTAAATAAATGTAAAAAAATTACCACTATGTGAAAACTCCGCTTCAAGTTACTTGACGCTTTTTATTTAAACAACAAATATCAAGCTTGGATATGACTTTTCTAGTGACAATATATATTAGACATTAAAAGTTTGATTATTAATTTAAAAGAAAAATTGGTTGAAAATCTCCATTTGACAAATTAATTAGAGATTGAAACCTAGAATAAATGTAAAGGTGTGAAGTCTTCAAGTGTCAATAAGTGTGATAAAAAAATCACATTGCCTTGATAAATACTAATTACTTATAACGGATCCTCACTTTACATATGCCTACTTGCATGTGACAGATGGCTACTTGCATATACATTTATTGTATAATACGAATGCTTACTTGTATATGACAGATGCCTACTTATATATAAGTTTTTATTACATGTTAATGTATAAGATGGATGCTAATTGTATATAACAGATACTCAGTTACATCTAATTGATGCTCACTTGCATATGAAAGATGGGTTCTTATATTGTTGTGTAAGGGTTCTTATATTGTTGTGTAATGTGAATGCTAATTACATATGCAATTAGTCGTATGGAATTAGCATCCATCATACACAAGTTATAATCCATTGTATGCACATGAGGATCAATCACATGTCATTAGTACTTAGTAGTGGTCAGGGCAGTGTAGCCTTTTTCCTATCAAACTTAGTGACACTTAAGAACCTCACACCTTTATGTTATTCCAAGTCTCATTCCCCTAATTAATTTGTCAAATAGAGATTTGTAACCAATTTTCCTTAATAAAAATCACTATTTCATGTTAAACAACAAAAATTAATATTCCAATAGTGTCAACTCATCCCTGTTTCAGAAAAGGCTGGGGGGAAGGTAGAGAGGGGGAGGACGATTTAAGCACTTCATTAGTTTCTAAAAGTATAATTTTATCGCCAAGAAGTTCTTGAAAGAAAGAGAGAGCGCAAAAAATGAACATTGAGTTAAATTTGGAATGTTCGACCAACAGAAATTAGTACTATATATGCCGTTTTTGGTAGGGTGAGGCTGGATTGCTGTTGCTGATGATGCATGAACGAATCAACATGGCTTAGCAACTTGTGACATACGTGAATCATATGTCGTAAACTTCCACCGTAAATTTAAAATACTAAAAAAATAAAGAAAAATCTGGAAAGTTAGAGATATGAGAATATATTATCATGTCGCAAAAGGAATATATTTTGTTTACATTATTATAATTGTTATAACACAAATATAAATATGAGCATGCGAGTGTGGAAAAGAACGCAGAAACAAAAAACATCATATAGAAAAATCACTCTTTGGAGAACTCAAAGGAAGAGAGAATTGATTGAAGATGTCAATAACTTGCAAGTGGAAGCCTATTGCTTTGATGATTCTTGTCAACTTTGCTCTGGCTCTTGTAAATTTGCTTCTGAAGAAAGTTCTTAGTGAAGGACTGAGCTTCTTGACCATCATAACATATCGACAGTTAATTTCAGCCTTTTTCTTGTCACCTATTGCATTTTTCTATGAGAGGTAAGTACTACTTCATTAATTTAATAGTGCAGAATATTGGGTTTGTTTTATACTGTTGTTATAAAGATAATGTAGCGCGTGATCGGTAGAATTTTGGAAAATAAGATCAGGGACCTTTGACACTTTATATCAGTTGTTTGAGAATCGGTGTAAAAAATATATTTTATATGCCAACTAAATAAACAACCAATGTAGATAGATAGTTCTTTAAAGCATCATTTCCAAACTCATAATGGTTATTGTGCATAGTTGCCTTAGAAGTTTTTGGCTCATGAACGCTGGCCATCTGAAAACTTTTTTGGGTACAAATTAGTATCGAAAGTTTTAAATCACAGTAATATTGCTCCAACTGTTAAAAATGTTATCATCATTATTTTAATAGTTAACGTTAGTTTTTTAATGGTAAGGGATGATATTGTTATAATTTTAAACTTTCGAGATAAATCTACACTCAAATAAATTTTCATATACGCAATATTTCTAAGTAAAAACTTTTAAAGCGAATCTTTACCTTAACTCAATTTATAATTTTCTAGGTTAGTTGCTCAGCCAACTAGCATAAAAAGTGTTTTCTATGGCCGTTTTGCTTATAATCTGCGTAGAAAGATAATATGATAACTTTTTTTTCAGTACTTGTAAAATTAGATGATGAGTTCCATATATTATCATATTGAAGCTCATATAAAGAAATAACATTATTCATGCTTCATACATAATATATTTTAATCTAAAGGTATATTACATAGTACATATATTGCCAAAAATATTGATAGAAAATTCAAAAATCCATTATGCCCCAATTTTCATAAATAATTAAATAATCTTCTAGAACTAACTAAATAGCATCTTTTCATTTATGAACTTCATTGAAGGTATAATTTAAAAAGTTCAAAAGTATTCACTAATTTTAATTGAATTCCTCAATCTAATTGAAATTGTTAACAGGTCCTTTTAATAAGTCCATAGGAAGGAATACTTTTTCCTTTCTTGATTGACGATGCGTAGTCAATGTGGGTTTTGTTACTGGAAATGGGTTTCGGTATTATACAAAGAGGAATTTAAATATTTAAATTATTTTGCATGTGTAACTAGATGAAATAAGAAAAGAATAAAAATAAATGATGGAAAAAAATTGAAAATGACTATAACCAAAAAATGGAATACAAGATTTTATTAAATTTACATATGTTTGGCAAAGGGCCTAGGTTTTTTTTTCCCCCCATTTTCCACCACTCATTTCTTTTAGTAAACTGACCTTTTGATTTCTGAAAGAATCTATACTATGCTTTCATTAAATTCGCAAGAATTTCACCAACGATTCAACGAACTTTAACAAGGACATCGGATTTCCTTTAATTTTCATATCATGATCTGTTTTCAGCTACTAATAATGGACTCTTAGAGAAGCTTTTAGTTTTGCAAGTTGGAGTGAGAAGTTTGTAACATTAAAAATTTTCTACATGCCTCTTGTCACCACTCTATTATTACTGCCTATGTAGCTTTAAGAAACGGCTTTTATTCTACTTCCTGTAGAAGCTAGTTATTTCACCCAAAAAGAAAACAAAAAGAAAGAGAAGCTAGTTAATGTTGAATAGTACTTCCTCCGGTGCTTGTTATAGTATACAAGAGACTGCTCGCTAATTCACACATATTAATCGAAACAATTAAGAGAATAAATTTATCATAAAATATAAATGATTTTTAATATTATTCTTACTAACCATGCTAAATTCCAATGTCACAATAATTTTTAGCCTCTCACTATTCTTATTAAATATGGGCATATATGGAAAAAAAATTTAATACTCATTAAAACTATCATAAGATCTTACAAAAATGATTAAAAATTTCTTCTATATAAAAGGAGTCTTAAAATAAAGAGCAGAGGAAATATGATAGAAGTCCTAAACTTATGCATCTCGAATTATATATAACTCAAAAAATTATTATAAAACATTTATAGTATTTCTATTGGTTTTAACTATAAGAACTATAGATGAATAATTTAAATATATCAATGAAATTAGCTGACTTGGTTATCTGTATAAATGTGTATTGCTCTATCTAAAATTATCCTTTTAATTATTTGTATTAGAAACTACCCTATTGATTAAAAAAAACTCCCTTAAATATGTGCAATAATAAGAATAATTTAAAATATATATAAATTGAAGAGACAAAAAAAATAAATTATATTGTGAGCTTAAATTTAGAATCAAAATTACCCATCTTATTAGCTTTTATATTTAAGACTGAATGGAATATCTTTAGAGAGACATCCAACTTTGTGGGCCTAGTAGAGCTCATATACAGAAGTTATTTTGCAGGAAAAGCAAGCTTGATGTTCACATATTATGCCTGCTTTTCCTCAGCGCTCTTGTTGGGTAAGTGCTACATAGTCTCACACATTAATTAATTGGTACCTTGTTCCTAATTTAATTTCATGGCTTAATTATTGAAATCAGTAAATTTTCTTTCTTTGATTTATTTATTTTGCAGAGTAACTTTCACTCAGTACCTATTTCTTCTTGGACTTGGGTACACGTCAGCCACCTTTTCATGTGCATTCCTCAACATGGTTCCCGCATTTACCTTCATCATGGCTCTGCCTTTTGGGTAAGTGGAGCAAAATACTGTTTTTTTTGTTTTTGTTTTTTGTTTTTGGCACATAAGTATCATTTTATTTGAAGCAATTCTATTCGAAGTACTATAAGATATTAAACATAGGCACCTTTCCTAATAGAGATTTGAATATTGGTTCGTCATGTTGAAATATAATTACAACAGAGAAATTAAAAAAAATACTGGAAAAACACTTTTATGGTGCTTCATATATATTCATTTAATGGACTTTTTGAAGATTTAATAATGAAATTAAAACTGCTCATAAAATAATACTTTAAAAGTATAATTGCTCTTGAAAAAAAGTAATATTTTAAGAGCAAAATTATAGGGTGCTGAATGTACTTGAGAAAATATTTCAAGATGCTAGGCGTATTATAAAATATTTTAGAGTGTTGGATGCCCCTAACAAAATATTTTAAGGTGCTGAACGTACTTTAACCTTGGTTTGTTTTCTCAAAATATAGATTTGGGTCAATTGAGGCTATTTTATTTAAACAAATCAAATTTCTTTAAATAAAAACTTGACCATTTATGAAGAATGCATATCATCATCATTATTATTTCAACAACACCTAACAAAAACGTTGACCATTACTTTTGTTGAAATTGCCGCAGAATAGAAAAGGTGATTTGGAAAAGCATGAGTGGAAAAGCCGAAGTGTTGGGCTCACTTATATGCATTGGCGGGGCTTTATTACTTGGCCTTTATAAAGGATTTCCCTTAACCATAATGAACCGCACTAAACCCCGAGCCTCATTATCTCTACCTCCGCCGCCACCACCTTCTTCTTCTTCGGAATGGGCATTAGGTTCGGTGCTTCTCACAGGAGGCTGCCTCTTGTGGGCCTCATGGTTCCTTATTCAAGCCAGAATTGGCAAAAGATACCCATTTCAGTATTCAAGTATAACCATTTTGTCATTGTTTGGAGCCATCCAATCAGCTGTCTTAAACTTGATCATCAACAGGAATAATTATGCCACCATCTGGTTGCTCCATGGGAAGTTGCAGATTGTGACGGTCGTTTACGCTGTTAGTATCTATTCTTTATTAATGAATATCACATATATATATATGTGTGTGTGTGTGTATTGATTTCTTTTAAATTTTATTAAATTTATATGATGAGACAAGGATCATGCATGCATGGAACTGGAAAAATGGATTGGGCCCGTAGGATTTAGACCTTAATTCACTTAGCAAACGGTCAACCTCTTTGAGCCGGTTTTATTTATCTATTTCTTTAAAAATTGTTGATGGTACAAATAATATTGATATTATTTATTTGTTTTTATAATTTAATATTATAAAATGGTTTGGTTTATTTAATTTTGGACAACGATTTGATCATCTAAATTTTAAGAAATTGGTTGATTTATACTTTAAATAATAATGATTTGATTCATATCATATGCGTTAATATTTTTAAATTGTCTGTATGTATGTATTTGTCAAAGAGAATATTTTTATTAACTTGTATTTTTATGATTTGAATTTGAATCTATGTTTTTTTAATATTTTATTATTTAAAAAAAATTTAGAGTGTCTGTGTTAAAGGGCTTGAGGCCCATAGCAGAGGCACTAGGCCTGTGAGATCACCGCTTAGCCTTTGTCAACAAGGTCTGATCAGCATAAATGGTATTTTAGACATGAGCCTCATGAAGGGCCATGCTCTTAGCATGAGGCCATTTCGTTTTTCCTTGCTCTAAGATATCATTAGAAAAATAAAAATCAAATTGAATATATGGACATTTTATTAAAAATGTTATTAAAGAAATATTTTTTTTTATTTTAAAAACCTACATGATCTTCTCCTCCAAATAAAGATAATTAATTTTCAAATCACATTACTTATTAGAATAATTTATCAAATTCAAGTAAACTTTAATAATGATTATACGTGGTTTTCTCAATTTTGACATTGAGTCAAAACATGGAGTACCGATATAGTAATTGTTTGTTATATTAATAGAAATTGACATATACTTAAATTTAATTTTACATACGATATTGATGAAAACTTAATGATTGTGAAAAATTGAAAACTTTAAATAGTAAGAATTCAGTTAAATATATAGTAAAAATTTACATTTAATTACTTACTTTGGGATGCAGGGATTGGTGGGGTCAGGGTTGTGCTACGTGGCAATGTCATGGTGCGTGAAAGCAAGAGGCCCAGTTTTTACAGCAGCATTCACACCCCTCATACAGATATTTGTGGCCATTCTTGACCTCTCTATCTTGCACGAGCAAATTTACCTTGGAAGGTTCATTTCTTTTACCCCACAATCCACTCTCTCTATTTTTTTTTTTTCCCGAAAAATGACAAATAGACCACGCTAATTATTTCGGTAAATGTATTGATTATTTCTGTTAAGGTTTTGACATGTTAGAATTACTTATATGTCATTTTAAAATTCAACATGTTTTTTTTTCATTTTTTCATTTTTAAACTTTGAAATATAAGTTTTTGGGTGAAAGACATATAAGGCCCACCGAAATTCCTATGAAATTCTTAAAGACTATTATGGAATTACGTTTTTGTGAAATGACATAATTACCTTTAGTAACATTAATTATCACTCTTAGTTGTTGTTGCCATTTAATAAGGTGAAGTTATTACTTTTTAAATTATTGTTGTCACTGACATTCATAAAGAAATTTTTGTGACAATAGTTGTCACTATCTTAGTTATTGATGTTTTTGTTTGCCAACAGTTGTTGTTATTATTTGATATGTTAGGGTTATTACTTATTAAAATATTGCAGTCATTTAGCTTTGTTGATTTTTCAAATTTCAAATCAAGGACATTTAGGTACATTAGCTACAGAATTTAATCACAAACTAGTTCCTCTATGGTGATCAGATCATTTCAAGATTTGGGGTATTTTTGTGTCCATCCCCATAGTTGTGAAGTATAAGTAAATTTTAATCACATTATTCTAAATGTTATATCTCTTCGGATTGCATTTTCCCTAATATCTATACCCTTGTGTGCACTAAGCAGTGCTGCAGGATCGGTCTTGGTTATTGTTGGCGTGTATATTCTTCTGTGGGGTAAAGGCAAAGAAGCCGAAAAGCAGTATTTCGCCAGCAACGAGCAAGCAAATCAACAAGATGGGGAATGCCAATAGCTCTGTGTGTGTGTGTGTGTGTTTTGATGCTAATAAATCTTTTAGATTTTTCTGTGAGACAAAAGGTCTACAAATTAAGCTAATCTGTAAATTAAATGATCAATTTCAATTATTATTCAAATGAAATATTGCTAGATTTTGGATCCCCTTTTGATGGGTTGAAATAGTAAATGAGGTTTGTTGGCTGAATTAATTAATACTACCTCATGTTCTAATTATAAGATCTTATTTATAGTCTACAAATGAGATCTTATAATTAAAAACGGAGATAGTATTGAATTAACAAGCATTTAAAAAATATATTTTCAGATCTAGCTTAAAAGTAAAGTTCCAAAACCTCTCCAAGCGCATAAATGAGTAGCATGACACCTTAAAATCAAGATAATTCATGGGCTCTATATACCTTAATCCCACATTCAAACCCTAAAAATCAAGATTCAAAGCTTAGAAAACAAGTCACAACACACTAAACGCGTGTTTGGATTCACGTTGTGACAGACAACATGCATTGCAAATAGTTAAATGCGTGATGTAGGAAAATTTGAGCCTGATAATTCGTTTGGATCAGCTTTTTTTCAAATTAACTTTTGAGAAAAAAAACTCCTTCAATGCAAAAGTCAGTCAAGAACATGGAGAAAGAAAAAGATGACAATGAGAAAATACAAAATTGTTCCAACAAACCCAATAATTTGATATTTATGAAAGTATTTAGAGAAGGAAAAATTTAAATAATAAAATGTAGGAAAAAGTCCCCCATTAAAAATTTGATTGGTAAGAACACCTGGCAAATTTTTATACCCATAGAGTATTAATATAAAGTCAGTTTTGTACATACAAAGTATCGGTGCCTAGTATTTTCATTTTAATTGTTCTCTTAAGAATTATTATTTTTTGCCTGTTAAGAATTATCACCTTATAAATATATAATATAAATATATATTTTTCAATAAAATTTATGTTCTTTTTAATTATCTTACATCTAAACTTAATTTTATATTAATTATTTAAATAAGTTTCAACTTGTCAAACTGACTTTTCATAAAAGTCATTCCAAACATAAATCGCATTATGCTAATTGACTTTTATCTACTAATTGATTTTTTATCCTAACTCACATTTGCAAAAATTAGATGGAATAAAAGTTATTTTTGCCAATCCTAATCCAAACACATCCTAAGATGATTGGAGGTTTTGAATCGCTCCTCTAAAATTGAGTTCTCTTCATTTTCCTCTGTCTCTATTTTTCTATCAATTTTGCAAATTCTATGTCAGACATGAAGGAGGTGTTTGGAACACCCCATAATCACTTTTCAGAAGCATTTTTTCGCAAATCAAGACAAACTCCTTCACATATTTACTACGTATAATGTAAAAGTAGTTCTGAAACTATGGTTTTGTTTTTATCCAAACACTTCCAAAGTCAATTTCTAGCCCTTCAATATCATATCTTGCCCCAAAATTTTAGCCTTCGTGTTTCAACTAGTCGACGTGTTTCAGCTAGTCGACCATCCCTTTTTCTTTTAATTGCTTATGCATATTCTCCTATTAAAAGTAATTATGTTGAGATACGGTTGGGCACTTTTTCAAACAGTAATTTGAACCTTAGCATGTCATATGAGGACTAGCTCATTCTGCTTAAATCTAACCCCTATGTGTATCAACCATCTCATTTTCCGTAAATTCCTTCACATATTTACTTCGTATACCGTAAAAGTACTTTTAAAACTATAGTTTAGTTTCCGCAAAACTATGGTTTAGTCTTTTTTGTCCCCAGCATAGCATCAACATCTAGCTCCGATTGCATTTGTTCATGGTGAGACCTTGTTTTATTTGACGCAGTTGGAAAATCTGATTGCTTCTATCTCTAATTTTTATAGTATATTATCATGCTATTTCATACATACTAAAACATAATCCCTAGGCCCAATTCACTTTTGGAGCTTGGTGAATCTCTGAGTTTGAAAAATGTTACTCCTTTTTTGTCCTAAATATAAACCTTCTCTCATAGTGTAATTTATACTATAAAAGGATGTTATATTTAGGATCAAAGGAGTGTAATTTTTTAAAAAAACGCTGGTTGTATCAAGTAATTATGGTTTAGGTCCCAGCTTTTCTCTCGCCTTTGGGATGAGCTTTTCCTCTCCTTCTCTGGAAGTTTCCTAAGCTGGTGGGAGTTTTCTTTCTCTCATTCTTATGCGAGCTGTTGTCACGACGTCTCCCTCCTCAGCGTTCTTCATGGACAAAGGGTACGGCCATCTTTTGTGTTGTCTATTCTTCTTCTTCTTCTTCTTCTTTTTGTGTGGTGATGTTGTTTTTATGGTGGTGTTCCTTCTCTCCCCGACAATAAACAAATATGTGGGATTTGATTTCGGCATTTCTTGCTTTGATGGTGATAGATCATATCCCAACCTTTTGGCTTGGATTTATGTTTTTGGGGGAAGGGAGTTGTTAGCCACCGTCTTTGCTGCCATATGCTATATCTTTCAGAGGATGGTTGTTGGTCCTGTTTGGTGGTGGCGAATCCCAGTTGTTAGTGTCAGGTATATGCATTGTTAAAAGGCGTCTCTTGGCGGTTGACGGTGAGTTCTATTTCTTCTCCGATGTCGTTTACGTGGTCAGTGGTTGTGGGTGTCTTCTTCTATGGGTTCTCCTAGCCTACAAGAGGAGGGGTGGGGTCCTTTGGGGTTGGTTGTTTCAAACCCCCCCCCCCTTACACAGATATCAGTGCTGATAACGACGTTTATCTCCTTGTAGGTTCCGGCGAAGCGACAGTGGTTCTCTCTGGTGATCTTGACGTTGGCTTCTCCTTCGGCTTTAGTTTTACGGTTAGGGTTTTTGTTTTGGGCTATCAGCTTGATGGCCTTGTTTGTTGGTCCTCTATTGGGCATTGTCTTAGTTTTTTTTTTTGAGTAAGGCATTGTCTTAGTTTTTATATAATGAAAATGTCTCCTTGTCTGATTAAAAAAAAAATTTATAATTTAAATGTTATGCTTATATAGATTTCAACAAGGCCCTAAGACACATACGCAAAAACTAGACTCATTCGTTCATCAATGTTATTAGAGAAGTCCATGAATTATTAATTTGCAATTGATTTGTCACTTCTGTCCATATGTCAAGAGAAGTTAACAGATTATAGATTGTCCACATCTCCGTGATGAAGGCTCTATTTACGATATCCCGTCTACAGGGCACATCTCTTTGCTTCTTGCAAGTATTCGCAGTACGGTTGCAGTGCCTTTGAGGCTAAAGAGTGGGCTATTTTCGAGGAATTAAGATTGGCTTGGCATTTAGAATTCAAAAAAGTTATTCTTAAATACTTTCTTTCTCTCTTTCTTATTATAAGAGACATTTGATGTTTTATGGCATGTTTCTATATATAAGAGACACTTAAATGTTGTTTCTACTTTTTTTGTGTTGATTGATTTTCTATTTTACCGGTATTTATTGTCTCTAACTCACATTCTCTCTCTTTCTCACTTTTTTTTTTTTTTTATAATAATTTACCATTGTTCTCTCTCCTTATTAATGAGAGCATTTTTGAAAAAAAAATTATATTTTTTACACATTGATTGTTCTTAACTAATTTTAGTTATTTTTTTTTATCAGCGTAATTTGGTTATTCGTCTTTTATAATAAGGAACGGAAAGAGTAAAATGTTAAGAACTTAATTGATATAATGCTATCAAAGGATAATCAACAAATTTGAAAGTTACAAGCTTAACATATTTTTAGAGAGCAAAGTAGAGTTGCTAATTCTTTAGCTAAGATGGAATTAAAAGCACCCCCTATTAGGTGTATTCTATAATAAAGGTAGTGGATTTGTTTATATTTTTCTTGGTATATCTCTAGTCTTTAATATAAGAGTTAATTAACTAATCTGAGTATATTATGAAAATTAATTTAGTTATTTGTGATAAATTAGTATTATTTTTTTAAAATATTCTTACTAATTATGTATATTAATTAGAACTATCATAACATATATATCTATTACAAAGACTATTTTTAAAAATAAATAAATAAATATAAAAAACACAGTAGATTGGAGTCTCATATTTAAAATTAAATTAAATATCAAAATAGTTTTTCCATTGAAAACGGGTGGTAGTACATTAGAACCTAGTGGATAATAATTGTATGAGATTAACCTCCCCTTCTGATTAGTTGTTTTATTTAGGGTGTAGCCTTCTCTTTTGTAGCGAAACAAAAAAAGTACTCTCAATACAACAACTACTACAGCTTCGCTGGTTTTGCCGCTAGCATCCCTTCCATTAACCCCCCCAAAAGAAGATGTGGGGAACAAGAGGTCCATACAACGTCCAGGTTGTCACAACTTCAATCCTTTCCATTTGTAATTTATGCTTGCATTTCCTAAATTTGTTACACCCCCCCCAAAAAATTTAGAAAAGAATAGATGCTGATAAAAAATATATATATTAAATTATATACAGATTAAATAAGTCCTGTACAATAAAAGAACATTGTTATTATTAAATAAAAAGAAATGCTATACAAAATAATTGTAGGAGACTAAGCATTGGAAACATCAATACTGTATGGGATTCCTAATAGTGCAGCATCATCCGTGTATAAAATTGCAGCAGCAATAGGCTCCAGCTATCTCAATGCTGATTGACCATAGTGATGATTCAGAGCTTTAGAGCCAAAATAGGACACGTTCCGCTGCAATCTAAAA